GGTGGGGACGCGGCGGCGGCGGCAGCGCCCGAGCGGCGCCTCTCGCTCCTGCCCTGGGACCGCTTCTCGGCCTGGCTGCACTGCGTGTGCGTGGTGGGCTTCGACCTGGAGCTGGGCCAGGCCGTGGAGGTACGCGCGGCGGCGGGCGCAATCGCGCGCTTCCTCTGGGGCGGCGGCAAGTGCGAAATCCCGGCGCGCGGGGCCGCCCGTCCCGCCGGCCGCCCGTCCCGCCTGCCCGTCCCGCCGGCCGCCGCCGAGGGGGCGGCCGTAGCGCGGCCCGCAGCGCCCCGCAGCGCCCCGGAGAGCTGCCCTGCTCCCTCCCTCCGCCCTTTTCTTTCTTATTCTCCATCTTTCTTATCACTAATAGCATACATTCATGGAAGGCTGGCAAACAATGCTAGTTAGGTGCTGCAAAAATTAAAATACATAATTGATATACAGAGTTGCTGCAAGAGAAATGCAAGCAMGTAGCTAGCGCAGCATCCTGGCTTTCTAAGCTGTAGTTGCATCATGTTATAAGGTGGTGTTAAGAGCCGAGGCAAGAGTTATCTTTATGATCTGTGACAAGCAGATGATGTTCCCCAAGGGTGAAGGCAGCACAGCCKCTGTCTTGTTGCAGGCAACTCTTAGGGTGATAACAGCCCCATTAATCTCTGCTGTGTGCAAATGAGGCAGTTGAGGATTAGAAGATGAGGAAGTTGCTAAGCAAGCAGTTTTGTCTCACTTTCAAATTCCTTTCCTGGAAGAAAAAGTTGTGTCTTTGACAGAAAGAAGGTCCTCTTTCACTAACAGTTTGAAGTTTCTATTCACAGAATAAAGTTGGGCTTCATAGCAGTGGGTCTGCTACAGCACTGCAAGCTGTGAATAGCTTTCAGAATAGCTAGCCTGTTAGGCTGTTAATTTAGGGGCTTTCTGGCCCAGCAGCTTAAATTTATTGGAGGAAGGAAATAAAAGTGTGCAAAGGACCATTTAATTGTGAGGGTGAGCTCTGGGAGACAAGGGAGCAATAGAATTATGGTCTCCTGCAGTTCTCTGCTCCTAGTGGCTGCCAGGACAGGATAGAACACAGGATGGAACACATCACAGGACAGAACTGAGTTGTTGCTGCTTTTACTCATCACCCTCTGACTTGTGGAAAGACATAGAGGCACTAGTGAACAAACAGCTTTCTTTAATACCTGCCACTGCATCTCCTAAGTATTAGTTTAAGCAAAGAAGTATAATTTTCCTCTCCTTTATACAGCAGTTGCACAAAAACCTTAATTTATCTAACTTGTGGTATGTATCTGTGCTGTCTCTTCCATTCCAGAATATCTTGCAATGATAGGTGACTATCTTGGGCTAGAAAAGCATGTACAAAGTAAGAACAGGCATAAGGCTTTAAGAGCTTACCATTGAAAAATAAGCTAAGAATAGATAAATATGTGAGGCCATTATCCTTAAAATATTTCAAGGAGAAATTTATGGCTTAATTTATCCAATTGTCAAATAAAATACTACCTTTTTCTTTTCCTGTAGGTTATATATCCCCCACATTCAAAACTCACAGATAAAGAGGTAAGTCATGGTTGCTGTATAAAAAATCAAACAAAAAAACCCATTTGTTTCTCAGTTCTTTTTTGAAATATAATGCTGTCCTTTTTTCTTTTCTTTTCTCTTTTCTCCATCCTTTAGAAGACCAATATTTGCTATTTGTCTTTTCCCGATTCCAATTCAGGTAAGTGCTTCCTTTGCTCTGTGGACAAAGGTTTGAATCTGTTGTTGGGTTATGCTGTGTAAAACAGGGTTTACCTGTATATGTCTRTGTTATTAGTTTGAGATTTATGCAAATATCATTATGTAATAATATTACAGTATAGAATAGGTTAAATATAAAATTGCAATTATGTGCATTGCAGTAAGAGCTGAGGACTGTTTTGTATAAGTGGAATATCAGGAACGTGAATATTTAAGACCTTCCAGACGACATGCTTGCAGATGTTTCAGAATACCTTGTAAACAAAGAAAAAAAATCTTTTAACATCTCTCTTGAACAAAACAATACTATCATTGTAGGCAAAAGTATAGACACAGATTTTAAAGGATTTAATAAAGCTGATGCAAAGGATGAGAGACTCTTTTAAAATTTAGAAAATAGGTAAAAATTTGCGAGAGTGAAACTGACTTTTCATTCTAAATGCTTTGAATTTAAAAGTCCTGAAGGGAAAAGCCTTGGTTATCTTAAACCTTCTTCTCTTCTCTTTGCTTCTGTTGCTGTGTGTAGTTTTGCTTGCTGAATTCTTCTTTCATCTAAACTTTTTGTGTTCTGCTGCTGGAGGAGTTGGAGGCACGTGGCTGTTGACTTAGACCACCTGTAGGAAGAGGTGGCAGAAGTGCAGATGGCTGCCTTTCATGTTCTATGTCCTTAATGTGTCCAAACATGTAGTAACAAACTTGTCCCTATAGCTGCTCTTTGTTTCTGTTGCTCTGCAGCATGATGGTTCTTAAAGAGGTTGATGGAGAAGTTTCTGTTTAATATATGTACATGAGCTGTGATGGAAGTGACTTGAATGGGCATGAGATCACGACRCTCACTGTGTTTTTTAATCTAAGTGTCTTAATACAATTATAGTTAGTACTTTTGCTTTGGATGGATAGTTGAGGAAAGAAGAGCCATTTACCTYTTCAGATCCTCCATACAGGAAGAGCCGCCAATTCGGAACGGTGTCACTGTACGTTAATAACCAAGGGAAGCTTACTTCTAGGTCATCTCCATATAAGGCAAACTAGGCAAATACCAAAAGTTAAATGAAGGGAAATAACTACATAAACTTGGAGAAAATGTTTTATTATTGGCATAGAAGTCATATCATTTCTGTAGCTGTTGACATGAAGGTTTGCACTGCAGATGTGTATTTTGGATACTGTTCAGCAAGGTAAATTGGCAGTGCTCAGGATCTTGTCTTTCAGTCGATTGCCTTCATGTTAACTCCACTGCCTTTGAGAAGGGTGGGCTGCTGCTTTTAAAGGAGGTCTGCTGGGATCGTGATGTGCCTGCATGTTCTCTCCATTCTACTCGTCTCCCTCACTGCATAGCATGTGAATAGCACATAGCACAGTCTATTTAGCTTATACTTATGTCATCTTTTTGAACTTCAGTAGTTGTTTTGTGGGGTTTTTTTTATTTGTTTTGGTCCTGCAGCTTGGTGGTTTTTTGTTTGTTTGTTTTCCCTAAACAGCAAACAACACTTTTAATGGTGAGAAAATAGCCATGAGGATATCAGGGATACAAGTCCTGATATAGCRGTTATATATTCCACTGGGGAAAGTTCCTGTGACATCTGATTCAAAAATTTGCCGTAATTTGTTTTCAGACTGCAAGTAGTCAGTATATTTAGCTAAACTTTCCCGTAGGAAATTAATTTGAATAGGATTGAAGGGAGGCTTCACTCCTTCAGTGTTACTGAAAAGTCTGTCCTCTCCTGAAGCTCTCTGGATGACACTTTGCCTTAATAGCAAATGCATTACTTAAATATGGGATTGATATTTATTTACAACGCATTGTTACAGTATGACCGATCTATTAAATTTCACCTCTTTGGTGTCAAAAAAGCCAAATGAAGTTATTCAGCCACAAATGACRTGTGGTGAAGACGAAAACTGTACAGCCAGAGCAATAAAATGCAGAATAATATTGGGAGGACAGCTACTAGCAGAGATGTTAGGGACAGTGTAAGTCCTTGCAGCTAATAAATTTCTTGTGAGGTAGAGATTTTTTTTTTTTTTTTTGCTCTAAAGAGGTATATTTATTGTTATCACTTAAAAAAATGAGAATAAAACATTCCAAATACTGTTGTTTGTTGTTTATATCTTCCCCTTATATAGGTTGTCTTGGGGACACACAGTTTTGTTTTAGATTTCGACGGTCTTCTGGAAGAAAAGTCTCATTGTGTTGTTTTCTGGACCAATTGGATAGAGATCTACCGGTTTACTTAAAGGTTGGGAATGAGAAACAATGGAGTTCATCTTGTCTGGGTGATAATAATGGATAGATGTTCATGCTTAGGTAGAAGCTCAAAAACTCAAATAGGATGCACTGAAAGGCAAAGCTTTTTCTTTTTGTAGCATGTCATTATGATAATATTTAATAATGTGTCCTGATAATTATCCTCTAAATAGTCATTATTTATTTTGCACTGGAAGGAATTACATTGGTGACCACCCCTATTTTATTACTGACTAGAAACATGCTGAACACCATTTAAGGATGGTTACTGGAGGTCTGAAGTGCTTTATAACTTTTTATAAAAAGACCTAAGTTTTCCTAAGTCTTCCTAGCAATTGTCCTAGCAATTCCTCTCTGTCTCTCCTTTTCACTTTTTAAAGATGGAGGAGTTACTGAAGAGAGGTAATGGTTAAAAAGTTGTTCTGAGCAGAAAGTTGTCTCTAGAAACTGTGCTAGTGGGAGTGTCACTCGGATTCAATTTAGATTTGTTATTATGGCAAATAGTTGATTTCCTGTTTGTAGGAAGAATGAAGCTGATGTTTTAGCTTTGAAATGTGAGAGAATGCATCTTTAATATCCTGGCTTTTTTATGAGCTATTTTATGCATAGAAAGACTAGATTTTCTCTTTATTCAAAAGCCASAGCTGTTTAAGGTGTGAGGGTTTTTGTTTGTCTTTTGTTTTTTAACTCTTAAAATCTTTTCGGAGTGACTTTGCAAAATTACCTGTTGATGTATTTCTTGGGGAAATCTAGTATTGCTTCCATAGTTTCAAGAGAATATAGATGAAAGAATAGCCAAGACAAAGCACACTCATTTCCTCACACTGTTGCTTTTTCTTCAAAGGAATTATAAAAGTTTTAATGCCAATAAAAAGGGTAGTCCTTATGGTTTATTACGTTCAATCACCTTCAGGGCTTGTAAGGAAGTAAGTTTGTTCATGCTCAAAAAGAAAGATGACATCAGGTTGTTGTATTGAATTCCCTCTTTTCTTTTTCTTCTTTTTTTTCCAGAAGGATCCAGCTTACTACTATGGCTATGTGTATTTCAGACAAGTTAGAGACAAATCATTAAAAAGAGGCTATTTCCAGAAGGTAATTTAAATTAACTTAGCAACATATTAATTTCACAGCTGTTTGAGTGGCTTTGGAAAGAAGAGTATGAGTAGCTTGATCTCTTAGCCATTTTGTGGCTACTGTTATGAATGATTTAAATGAGGCTTATGTAGCACTGGATGGAAAGTGGAAAAGAAAAACATATAGCAATTACTGTGTTCTTACAGTACACATTGTTTACTAAGTCTGCATGTAGCCAAGGAAGAATTTGTTTAGTTTGTCTCCCAGAAGAATAGTCTCTAATGTGTAGTTTATAGTTATCTTTTGCAGATATGGCTGTTACTGTGACTTATAGTAAACCGATCACACTTTATATCAATAGTACATTCCAGATGCACTCTCAGAAGAAAACATTGTTTTGTCTTAAAGCAATTAGTTTGGAACTCCTGGGAACTGATTGTTTGCAGTTGCCTGATGTTAAATGTGTGGTTGACTTGTTTGTGTGGAAAATTCACTTGATACTGTATGAGGATTACTACTAGAACTGGAAGTTCTCCTGAGGAAGGAGGTTAAGTTAAAACAGTGTTCTTACACGGGGTTTTCTTACTGTTTGTTCCAGTCCTTGGTTCTCGTCAGCAAGCTACCATACATCCACTTTTTTCGCACTGTACTTAAGCAAATAGCACCAGAATATTTTGAAAAGAGTGAAGCTTTCCTGGAAGCAGGTAGTGTCACTGCTAAATTTATGGACGTGCTCTTCAAGTACCGTGTGTGTGGTGGTTTTTTGTTTGTTTGTTTTGGGGTTTTTTTTTGAGAAACAATAGTGTCCCATTCCAGCTTGCATGCCTGTCTTCATTCAGCTCAAACTTTAGTGAACTGACGTGTGTTTTGGATGATTTTCCTGAGTATGTGCGTTTCAGTTCAACATATATCTTAGATAAGTGTGCACTTACATTGTGTGTGCTTTCTTCAAAGTTTCTTGAGATGTACTTGCATGGTTTCCCTTACAGCATGTTTCTTAAACTGATTGTGAATGTGGTTGCTACCAAGAATGGAAGACAAGCTGGTACCAGTTTCTTGACATGAATAATTTATAACGTGCTATTTCATTAGAATTATTGTAAATGTCAAAAATGCAGTAAAACTTCAGAGTGTGAATTGAACAAGAGATAAGTAGAAAGGTTGTGAAATATCAGCATTAATTTAAGATAGTATACAAAGTTGACTACAATGTCATGAGTTATAGCATGTGTAAAATAGCTATACAATCTTTTTTTAAATTTTCCTGTAAGTTTGCAGTGACRTTGATCGTTGGCCACCTCCAGTTCCAGGGGAAATACTGCATTTGCCCATTATGGGTGTTGTAATGAAGGTACATAATCTTGTGCTTTTTAAAGTTTAACTTTATGTCCACTGTTTATGTACTTGGCGTTTTCTGCCTTAAATGTCTCGTTCTTCAGAAGAGAAATAGACAAACTTACTCTGAGGCTAGGGAAGGTTCTAATTAGGTTTCTTGCTATATTTATTGTTAAACTAGACTAATAAAAATACTAATATGTAGTTTATGAAGACAGAAGAAATATCTCAATGCAACTCATAATTAACTCCTACAAGATTAACAAAAAAAAAAAAAAAAAGGCCTGTTTTGGCCTACATGCCTGAGAATAATTTCATGGCTGTTGCTAACCTTCAGTAACAGTGTAATATGTCTGAAKAAAGCTATTGAAGTTGTTTCTAGTGTGTGGTGAAGAACTGTTGTCGTTAAATGGTGGCTCAGAACTGGGCTTCAAGGAGTGATAAGATCTTCATATGGAATGAAGTGCACTTATTGCATTTAGAGACTGCAGTTGCAAGCAAATTCATAGCAGGTCCTTTCAAGCTTATGGCTAAGGGGAGTGTATATTGTCAGGGGAGGAAAGGAAAGTTTCTGAAGCTCTTCTGTAAGGAAAAAAATCTTAATGCAGCATTGTTCTGGATGTTGGGTGATGACAGTGACTGGCAGATGTTTGGGAATTGCCTACATTCATCCATTAGCAATTATTTATAGATATTACAGCCTTTAGTTCTGTGCCTGTTGTCATGAGAATGTTCTATAAAGTAAGTGAAGAATCACTTGGTACCAATTTTTTTTTTTTTTAAATATTATATCTTGTCCATATTTTACGTCTCTGCTGGATTAGATACAAGGAAAATTTTTGTTTGCTTCTTTGTTTCTTCCACAGTTGCGGATTCCAACATACCGTGACAAGCCTGGAACAACCCAAGTAGTACAGAATATGCACCAGGTAGAGATCTTGCTATTGTATACACCGCCGGAAATAGCTGCCTTCACACACTTAAAAGCTTTTTTTTCAGAAAAGATTGGGGCAAGTCTTCATATACTTTGTAGTAATGAAATACACAGTCTTTAAAACTGTAAAGTAGAAGAGTCTAGGAATGGATTCCTTCCAGAACAGGTTTTTTAACCCAGTTACGTCAGATACCTTAAGACAGGACGTTGATCCTCCGACTTGTGGAGGAGGATGATGGACTAATGAAATCACTTAACTCCAAACATCCTTTCTGTGAGTGAAATTACAGTAAATGGTAGTTTTTTTGGAGGACAGTATTTAAAAGATTTACTGAACTTAGAAGCTGCATACAAAACAAGTCTGTGCCTTCAGACTGAAAGGCATATGCCCATAAATGGGAGAGAAATTTTGCTTTTAGGCAAATAGTTACTTGTGTAGTAGTATGTATTTAGGGTATGTATGATCCTATGTGTGTAAGCATTTAAGAGAAACTGTTTTAATACTTGCATAATATGGCGACTGAAAACTAGCATTATAATATCTTTCAGACAGATGCACAAATCTCTGTGGCCTTACCTACTGTTCATGAAGTAGACCTGTTCAGGTACGATTTGAGACAGATTTATCCCTAGTTGCGAGTTCCCACAAGTCCAAGATGAATGAGAGTTCTGTAACAAAAATCTCTTAGTTGGAAAGCTAGGTTTATCAATTTTGTTTGTAATGTTCTTTTCCTGTCATGCTGTCTAAAAACACACATATTGCAGGTTGAAACTGCAGTTTTTTTATGTATTCCTTTTTGCAGTAATAATTTTTGGTTTGTARTCACTTTTGCATGTTACTTGAAACATCCTTTTATGCAGTTCTGTGGCTTAATTAAAAACCTTTATCTTCTAGTTCTTTGAAGTATATTAACTTATTTGGATTTGGTTTTAGGTGTTTCTGTCCAGTGTTCTTTCACATTCAGATGCTCTGGGAGCTCGTCTTGTTAGGAGAACCACTTGTTGTGATGGCACCATCGCCATCTGAATCTTCAGAAACTGTGCTAGCACTTGTTAGGTAAATACAATGGAGCTTCCAAAGTAATAACTGAACGAGTCATTGCAGCTTGTAGCTGGGTGCAACTTGAGTTAATCTAAATCTAACAGATTTAAAATTGTAGGCTTCTGTATTCTTTCATGACTTTTTTTTTTCACTCTGCAGTTGCATTTCACCTTTAAAGTACTGCAGTGATTTCAGGCCATACTTTACCATACATGACAGTGAATTCAAAGAATATACAACTCGAACACAAGCCCCGTAAGTAAATCAGATTTCATTGTGAAGTTGGTGCTTAGAATTATAAAGAAGGCTTATCTTATGGAATACAATAATTAGCTATTTTAAATACTCTAATAACCAGGATAGGGAAAATATGAAACAACATTATCTTAAAAATAAGTTGCTCTTAGCTGAAGAGGTTCCTTTGGTGTAAAGTAAGTAAAATTGGAAATATGAAAGCAGGGTGTGGGAGTGTTTGTGTGGTTTTTTTTTTTTTTTTTTTTTTTTCTTTTAATGTTCAGCAAGGCTTCACCTTTGCAATATTTGGTCTGAAATGACAAGGTACAAAATAATAATCAATTTGTATACCTGAATTACTGGATCAAGTGACTTGTTTTCATACAACTGTTTTTAAATTAATCTGGGTGATGTTCTAGTGAAGACTATCACTTAAAAAGCATCTCAATTTGTTTAAAAGTGCTTTAAATACTTGAGAAATTAGAGTATTTCTGAGTAACATGAATCTCATCTTCCACAAAATTATATTTGTGAAGTTGCTTTAAGAAAGTACTTCTCTCCTTTTCTTATCATAATTTTGTTAATCATACTGTTATGATGTTTCTTCATTAGATGAATTATTGAAGATGAGCTTGATTTGGGATTGGATTCCAAAGTTATCAATTCTGTTTTTAACAAAATTCCTCTGATATCTGAACAGACACTGATTGTTAGGCACATTTGAGAAGCATGTGTAATGTAACTATGAAGACAGAGTTCTTGTTGTAATATGTGAACTATTGTGTTTATATTTCTAGACCGTCTGTTATTTTAGGGGTGACAAACCCTTTTTTTGCTAAAACACTCCAGCACTGGCCCCACATTATTCGAATTGGAGATATTAAACTACCAGGTAAGAAAGAAATTCTGCTGCAGTACTGTGTTTAAAAATATACTGTAATGTCACTTGCTGTCTCAGAGTTCAGTAGCAGGGTAGCTCTATCTTACAGTATTTATAGTATTAATATTATAGTATTTATTTTAGGAGTGATGATTTACAGTAAGATGGCTTTAAATGTTTTGGCAGGTGAAGTTCCAAAGCAGGTGAAAGTGAAGAAACTCAAGAAYCTAAAAACTTTGGACTCAAAACCTGGTAATAAGTTGCTCTGGAGTTCAAGCATTCTTTTTTTTTTTTTTTTTCAAAATTAAAAAGAACATACTACTCCATTTTTCCTTTGATAGTAAACTCCTTTTCCTTTTTCTCTCCTATTTCTTTTTAGGGGTTTATACATCTTATAAGACATACTTAAACAAAGATGAAGAAATCATAAAGCAGTTACAAAAGGTAATACTTTATATTAATAGAAATTTGGTATATTGACATACGCTACTGTTTTCATTTAGGAATGAGGTATGGCCACATACTTAAAGTGATGGAAACTAATTCTCTCTTTCTCTCATTTTAACTTATACATAAGTATGTCTTTAGAAACTTCTCATTTTTTTATTTGAATTTGACATTAAAATTCATGTGAAAAAAAAGAAAACCAGCTAAATAGTGAATATCTGTACTCAAGAACTTGCTGCAACTGTTTTGCTTTAATGGTTGGGGGTGACAGTATGATAACAGACTTGTATTGTGATCCTTTTTTAAAGGGTGTACAGCAGAAACGTCCSTCAGAAGCTCAGAGTGTGATTCTTCGGCGTTATTTTTTGGAATTGACAGAAAGTTTCATTATTCCATTAGTAAGTTTTAACCCATGATGGTTTTTAATATGATATGGGATAGATTTGRTGGTGATTTACGTTTTTCTGTTTTAGACTTAATTCTATTGGATCATATTTGAGCTAGACAAATTTAATAGTAAGGTCTGTATTAGCTTTACTAAAATGCTGTAAACTTACCCTTTTGTAATTGCAACACTTAACATGAAAATACAGAATATAGTAGCCTGATGTCTGTTATGAAACACAGCAGGCTTTGATCTCAAAATGAAACATTTCTCTGTATATTTTGTTGTACTGCATTTTCGGGTGTTCACTTGTGATATACTGCATAGCATTTGTGCAAAGAAAAATGCATATGTACTTTTTTTAATCATCAGAGTAAGAAGCAAATCTCTAATGCTTCCTCAGTATTTGAAATTCACATCCTTTTCCTTAATGTTTCTTAAGGGCTGGTCATATAAACAAGCTTTCTTTTTTTCTTTTTTCCAGGAACGTTACGTGGCAAGTTTAATGCCTCTGCAAAAATGTATATCACCATGGAAGGTAAGGATATATAATTGCAATGAGCTGGAAATGGTCACTTAAAATTATGTTATATAAATCATATAATTCATCTTTTTCTGTAGAGTCCACCACCACTGAGACAGTTTAGCCAAGAGGATTTCATGAAGACACTGGAGAAAGCAGGACCACAGCTCACTTCGGGGTTAAAAGGGGATTGGATAGGACTTTACAGGTTAATTCTTTCTTCAACATAAGAAATAAACTTGTATTTAAATGAAGGCAAATAGATAATATGACTTCTTGAGCAATTTGGTCTCCATTGATTTGAAGGTGTGTTCTTGCTTTTAGAATATGTGATTTGATGAGAATTGCTAGTCCTTAACAGAATTCTAATATCCTCCTAAATGGATATACCAGTAGATTAGTGGGGTTTTTGTGTGTTATTTTTCCCTCTTTTTTTCTTTTTTGGGGGAGGAGGAGGAGTTGTGTGTTTAACCTAGTCCAAACACGATTCCTCTTTGCAATTCCTCTTTGCAATCAAACACAAAGATATTTGCTCCATGTTTTTCCCATCTTTATCTGGATTAAAAGAAGCACCTCTTCTATTCTGCTTTGAAATAGAATATGTATCTGAAAGAATAGAAAAATTGTTCCAATACCTTCTTCAACCTCCAAAACAATTTCTTAGTAATTGAGTCAATGGCACAGAAAACGGTGTGCTATCATAGTGTGTTCAAAATATCATTTTGTTTTTGTGTTTTATCAGGCATTTTTTGAAATCACCAAACTTTGATGGTTGGTTTAGGAGCCGGCAGAAAGAAATGACACAGAAGTTGGAGGCCCTTCATTTGGAAGCACTCTGCAATGAGGTTGGTAACTATGCTACTTACATTAAAATTTCCGTCAATGTCACATTGCTGTTATTTACGTTGTTTGTGCCAATTAAGGTGCTGATGACTTGGTCAGTTCTGATAGTGTTAATTATGAACTATTTAGCCAATTATAGACTAGAATTAACATAGCAAAAGAAAACAATAAYGAAATACAGTTAATTTTTTATAATAACTGACACCATCTGTAAAATACCTCCTTCAGTCCATTTTTACTTATACATGTTTTGACATGGAGTGTTTTTTTTCTCCCCAAACTTTTTTTTTTATCTCCTACTTGATATTGTTACCTCAATAAGCTTCCTTGTGTGGTATTTCATGTAATTAATTCTATATCATTACTAAAAAGTATTTTATTTTCTTTGTAGGTATAAATTCATTGAGTGCCATAGAAAAGGAACAACTAACAAGATATTGATAATATCTAAAACTGAACTAGAACTGACTCATTAATTAGAAACAGAGAAGTGAAATCTGTTATTGATATTTAACTTAGGATCATTTATGAGTTATTTTGTTATCAGCTGTATTCTGTTGGCTGTGCTGATACCACCTCAGCTACTTATTTGAGTAAGAAGAGAATGGCTGAAATAGAAATATCACAAGAGGGAAACAGATGGTAGGATGAAATATAGGAATAGAGAGAATAACAAMAAATAATCAACGGCATAGCTTAAAATGTGGAAAGTGGACTGATTACTGATTATTAAAAAATTAAAACCTACTGATTTTTATCACTTGCCTTACAGTTCCCAAACAGTACATTGTAGCAGCCAAAATATATGGCAGAAATACAGCAGCCCTCAGTTTGTAGGGTAACAGTTACGTTGGCTGTATCACATAGAATTTATTCAACTATATTTGTCACTAACTTATTACCAAGAAATGGATGAATGTATTACTACTCCTATTGGTTTGATTCTTTTGATTCAGGACTTGGATCTTTTTGTACAAAAGCCAGTATTTTTAGTATAAGGAAAAAGACATGAATTCTTAACATTAGATGTAAGCAACTACTGCTACTTCTGAAAACTGTATGATTTGACATAGATATTTCAATATTTTATTAGAACTTGGTTTTCTGGAGTCAGAAGCATACTGAGGTAGAAACAGTGGATCTTGTCTTAAAGCTGAAGAATAAACTGGTAAGGAACTGATTTGAAATTTGCTGAAATTCACTTAACTAGATAAAAGTATTAAATAGTTGTATTATAGGTACTTTGGAGGAAAATATGCTTTCAGATCTAGGTAGCTCAAGGTATTGGTCATCTAGGTTACTAAAGGAAAATAGGTTAATTAAGCCATGACTGAAGAGTTAGTCAGGAGTGATTACCTTTGATTATGTTAATGATCTCCTTATCTTTTTGTATACCCAAAACTTGACAATATTAGCTAGCTAGGTCAGAAGCCAACTATTTTCATCATTTTGTTTTGTTAAAGCCAGTTGAAACTTGGTAACTCATCTGAGAACAAGATGGAATCACCAGAGAAGCAGAAAAACAAGCATACTTATTATTAAGTCTCTCTAAATTAGTGTTATCTCATGCTGGTGTGTAGATATTGAGAAAAGATCTCAACCTGCTGTTCAAATTCCTACTTGGTGAGCAAACAAGGAAATCCTTCTCTGRATTCACTAATAGGTTCTTTTTGTTTGTATTAAAATAGGTTTGCATTTTCAGTTGAAAACGTGTCTTATTGTACTTTTGCAGTTGCAGGCTGGCAGAGACCATCTTCCTGTGAAAACTGATACACTGAAAAAGCTGCAAAGGCACATTGATGATATTATACTAGCACTTCCAGATGATTTGCAGGACATTTTGCTCAAAACTGGCACAACATGATTTCTATGAGACTTTCTTTTTTTCTTTTTCCCTTTGGTGCAGAAAACAAAAGGCAAAATGAGCTTCCCAGAAAACAGTGATATATAAGGTTTGGAACACGGTTCTAAATAGTACATTAACACTATAGATGGGCTATATTGATGATGTAGTTGATTATACTGTTTTGACGTTTCTCTTAATACCAATGCAACTAAAAAAWTCCTCTACTTAATTGTGTTTGAAATAAGTGCTCTTAAAGAAAAATCTGTGGGCATATGAAAATATAGCATAGCGTAGGACCACAGTGCAGTGCTGGCATTGCAGAATGTTTTCTAACTGGTGCTGCTATACCCATCATGGTAACTCAGGGGTATGCAATACAGATCCTATACTGTCATGTTGACAGATTATCCAGTTGCTTTTAAATATTTGGGTTCCTTTTTTGTTTGTTTTTAATGCTTTCAGCTGGTGATAAGTCCAACAGGCATATCCTGTGACTTGGTCAGAATACATAATATTTGAGGTATTCTACTGGTAAATGATTACTTTCAAAAGTATTTCAATAGAGGCATTTTCACAGAAACAAGCGAAAAGACTGGTTGTTAAATTGCTTTTCTCTCTCTTACCCTCTTTYCAATGAACATATTACTGTAATATCTTTAAGGAAGAGAAGACAACTGACAGGTATTTCATGAACAGAAGTCTCTTCCATTCAATATGAGATAATTAYGGTGCTCTTATTCACAGGCCTTAAGCATAAATTAATGATATTCAAATTGGTGGTTTTAAACTGCTGACATTAAAGGATTTTAAAGGGATTACTAGTGTAAATGTAACAACATAGTGTTACAGCAACATCACAGAAAATAAACACAGTAAGTTTAAAAATGAATCATTTCAGATGTTACCTGATAGAACATCTGTTTCAGTTGGAGACTGTAGCATATCTGACTTCAAAGTTTTTTTTTTTTTTTTTTTCTTATACCAGTATGGTCTCTGATGGGGTAATTGGGCAGGAAGCAGATTCTTGGATCCAACTAGAAGAAAGATGATGAAAAGGTCAAAGTGTGGCAAGATAGGATTGTAGTACAAAGTTATTCTTCAGTATATGCATATAGTACACATGCATAAAGAATAATTTCCTCTTGCATATTAAGCAAGAAGAATGTGACATTTATCTTCGACAAGCTTTGGTATATTAGAATTCAGCTGCTCCACATGCAGTATTCCATGACCCATTTCACACAGAACTAACTTAATGCTATAGTGTACGTACAGTATGCACTCTTACCTGAGAAGTGGATCACAGTTACCAATAAATTCTTACTTAAAGTGCTTGGATAAGTTWTTTTTATTAAAAAAGAAAAAAGCTATGACATAATTCTGCTGCAGGAAATGCTTTTTATGATAATTTTTTCATACCATCTTTCTAAAAATGACTTATTTAGATATAAAGTGTCAACAGTATTTTTATGAAAAATGTGTATTTTAATACTGTTTCAGTTTGTATACAGTTATTCATGAACAAGTGATGTATCTATTAATGTATCTATTGTGCTACTTAAACTACACCACTTTGGCATTAATTTCTAACTTACATTTTTTTTGCACACTCTGAATAGCATTTCTARTTCAGAAATTAATAAGTAGACATTCTTACACTAAATTATCTTAAATATTTAACCTGGAGCGCTGTGTTGTTTCTTTGAACCATGTTAACTGGTAGCAATTATGGTAACCTATTATCACATGACTGCAAATATGTATTTTTGTAAAAAAAAATAAAGCTTTTTCTAAAAAAAAAAAGGAAAAGTTATGTGACTTGGACTGAAGCCATTGATCCAAGCACTTCTGCTGGTTTCTAATGTCTTCTGTGTCTGTACTTCCTTTGCAGTGAGCATAAGCTCAGCAGGGCTACCTCTGCCAGGGTGCAGCAGAGGCGGTTGCTCATAACTGAAGTGGGATCTCCCTCTCCCTGTTGGTTTGCTTGTTGTCTCGGTGTGTTTCAAGCACTTAAGTCTACCTGAGGCTTGAGAGCTAAAGAGCAATGGAAGAACTTCTCCTTTCAAGAACTTTACCTCAGATTTAAATGCAGTGTTTGTATGGGGAAAGGTCCATAACTGAGGAGGAGGAAACACCTGGATACCTAAACCAGCTTCCCCTCAAAGAGCTAGTGCCTGTTTTAAAGAAACACTACAGCTAAAGGACCCCAGCTGGGTTCTCTGATCATGCTTGGCTCTAAGAGGAGAGTAAACTTGAATTTCAGACACATTAAATAACCCAAGTACTACTCGATCATAAACCCATAAGGAGCTGTCCTTGTGCTGCCTATGTGTGCAGGAGGCCGACCCTGCCTCTCCTCTCGCAGGCTCTGAAAGCAGGAGCGGAGGCAGCACCTGCTTCCTTAGCGTTTTTTTTAGTACAGACTTGTCCCCTGTCATGTAAATGGAAGTAGCAGTATTTCTGTGAAGGGTGGAGGGAAAATGCAGTAGCAGAGGATCACAGTGGTGTTTTTTTTTTTTTTTTTTTTTTGGTAAAAAATCAAGATCTGTTTCCCTGAGCCTTGTCCCTCACTGTGTTTCAGAGCTTTTTTCCTACATTTCTGGGTGTGTTGGTGCCTTCCTCGTGGCTGCTGTAGCTGCTGTTGGCACTAGACTAGTGTTTTTACCTTGTCTGCGCAGTTGTGCTCTAGAAATGACGTATTAATCATTCACATAGTGAATTCACATTCACATAGCTGTTGTTGATTTGTTCCCTTTTCCCCTTTCCTCTCTCCGGCTTTTGCGCCCGCCCGCCCGGCTGCTGCCCGGGGCCGCGTCACCTCCCGCCGCCTCAGCGGGGTCGCAGCCGGGGCGTGGCCCCGCTTCCCAGCATGCCGCGCCTCCCGGCATGCCGCGCGCTGCCCGCGGCCGGAAGCGGCGGCCGGGCGCTTCCGACTACATCCCCCGTGATGCACCGCGAGGTGCGGGCGCGGCGTGGCACGCGCAGTGCGCGCGGAGCCCGCTGGGAGCTGTAGTCCGCGCCGCCGTTGGGCGGTTGGGCGGGGGGATGTGGCGARGCGTGACGTGAATTTGTCCGCGTTGGAGCCGGAGCGGCCGTGGCGAGAGTGACGTGGCAGAGAGCGAGCGGGCGAGGCTCCCGGCCGCATATCAGCAGCGCCCGCGCCGCTTCGTCCTCCACTCCGGGTCTGCTGCCGCCGCTACCCGCAGGGCTCCGCGAGCCGCGCCGGGACCGGGCCGCGCTCCCCTCATCTCCTTCCCTCTCCTGTGCCGCCGCCCAGCGCCGCCGCCATGGGCCTCACCATCTCCTCGCTCTTTTCGCGCCTCTTCGGCAAGAAGCAGATGCGCATCCTCATGGGTAAGGGGCGCCGCGGCCCTCGGAGCCGCCGCCGAAGCCCCGTGCGCGGCGCCCGGCCCGGCCTGGCCCGGCCCGCTCTGCTCCCCCCATCTCTCCCTCCCTCCTGGGCGCGACCTGGCGCGGGGGAGGGGGCTACGGACCCCGGGGGGGGGGGGAGGGGAGGGGTGTCTCTTCTTCCCCTCTTCCTCTTTTTCTCTTTCCCCCCCTTTCCCCCCCAGGGCTTGCGGCAAGTGCAGGATGGAGGGGCGGGAAGCAATGGCGGGGGAAGGGGGGAGCGGAGACGCCTGTCCGTCCTCCCCCGGGCCCTCTGCTTCCTCCCTCCTTCCCTTCATACCGGTACCGGGGGTGCGGCTGCTGGGCGGCCAGAGCCCCCCACTTCTTCCCTCCGAGGCMGCAGCGGGGCCTGCGCCGCGCAGCCCTTTCCCCTCGCACCTGCGTTTCTGCCCGTGCGGAACAAAGATGGGGCCGCGGGAGGGGAGCTGCCGGGGAGCAGCGCGGGCCGGGCTGCGGCGCCGCCCCGGGGCCCCGCGCGCCGCGCAGAGGCTCGTGCTGAGCGGCCGGCAGCCGCCCGGCGCCCTGGCGGGGAGCGCGGCCCTGCGAGGGGGCGTCGCGGAGCGGCCGCCCTGCCTGTCCCTTCCCCTCTGCCGTTACCCGCCATTGTCAGCGCTYGATGGGTTTTGCTGCTTGCACATCATGATTTATTCAGTATTAGATCCCACTTATTTTCTTTCGAAGTGAGTTGTGCAATGCTTGGAGTCATTAACCTTTAAGGTGCTCCCTCGAGGACAGTAGTTCAAAAGGTCAGAGTCAGCACCTTGCCTTCCCGTTTTCCCCTTTGGCTTGAGCTCCTCCTGCCCTCTTCCACGCCACCCACACTTACAGTCTCGCAAATCTTACACCCCCAGTTTTTTCTCAAATTCTTTTACCAAAGTAGATGCAGCTTCGTGTCTGGCAGTGGACTGCAATAGTTTGCTGTAATAACTTAAGTGAAATACTCATTTCACGAGAGCCAGTTCTGTGCTGTGTGTATGATCTCAGCTATGAAACTTTGTGGCACACTAGCTCATCCCTACTGCTGCCAGGCTGTGCACTGCAGACACCAAATATGGCACTTAAAAAAAAAAAAAAAAAACAGCGTTTTTAGTGTTTTGCATGCATTCTGTAACGACAAAGTCCTGTATTAAATTCCTGAGTACTTTTGTCTTTAAGACATCTTAGTACACCTATTCATTTTAAAGAAGTTATTTGACTGTCTGCATAGCAGACTCTTCGTAATACTGTAAATGAGTAATAGGTAATCTCTCAAATGAGCTGAATACAGGACAAGATAGTGTCTGCGGTAGTTGTGATTCTCTTACATTCTGTGGATAATGAAAATAAGCAAGTAAGATCAAACAGATTAAAATTGCTTTAGTTCCCTCACTGTTGGGCAGTTAGTTCAAATCCATGTTAGTTATGGGATTATTAAATCAGAATTTCTAATATTTGCTGTATTTACATCACTTTTTGTTTGTTTTCATTTCCTCAATTCAGATTTGAAGGATTTGGTTATATTCAAATATGTGGCGTAATTAAAGTATGAGGCTGCTTCTGTTTTTCTTAGGCAGTGTATTAGGATAAAACATAGATATGTTGTGATGATTGTAACGTTCAGGACTTAAACCAGGGATTTTAGGATCACAGTGTATTGTATTGCAGATCACATCTCTTGTTGCATGGAACATAAGCTGTTTGTGATATTTACATCATAATTACTTGGACAGTTTGAGGGCAAATGTCTGAATGACTGCAAAGGCTGAAAAAAACCCTTTTCTTCAAAGATGATAACTTTCAATATATGATTCGAAAATAAATTATATAGGATAAGGCCTTTAGGTTTCTGCATTTATACTAGTGAAGTAGTTCTACTGGGTAAGATGTCTACAGGGAAATACTTAGAGGATAAAACATTACATTAGTGAGTTGACAGTGAAGATATGGTTAATTATAATGAAACTTGCCTTTGATTATTCTCTTCCATTCCTCTGAAAAACCCAGGTAAAAGAGAACTGATTGAGCTCTTAAGATAGACCTTGTGCTACTGACTTCTAAAGAATTTTGAGTGTTTTCCATGAAAAATGTTAAAAGCATCTGAAAAATAATATGTCGACACCAAACATGAAATGCTGTCTTTGATGGTCTCAAACCATGTTTGTGATAAAAGGACAGTGCGTAATAGTGCACCAATCATAGAATCATAGAATCGTTGAGGTTGGAAGGGACCATCTAGTCCAGCCCCGCTGYGCATRCAGGGTCACCTAGAGCACATGGCACACGATGCATCYAAGCAGGTTTTGAAGAACTCCGGAGAAGGAGATTCCACAGCCTCTCTGGGCAGCCTGTTTCAGGACTCTGTCACCATCACTGTAAGAAATTTTTCCTTAAGTTCCTGTGGAACTTTTGGTGCTTCAGTTTGTAGCCATTTGATCTAGTCCTGTCAGTGACCACCACTGAAAAGAGGCTGGCCCCATCTTCCTCACTCCCTAAAATTCCTGAAATTCTGTTTTTAGAATTAACYTGTATATTTAAATATATGTATGTATTTAAATAAATGTATGTAATTAGTATGTGTTTGCAGAAARGAAAAGATTTTCCATGTATTCGTGAAGGAAGAGAAAAAAAACCCAAACTGTCAATGACCGAGTGAAGTTACGCTGGGCTAATTTAGTGTTAGAGTGGGAAAATTATTGAGTCTTAGCCTTGCTTGTACTTACCTGTAAAACTCTGCACTCAGTTTCTTGCGCTTATAGCGGAACAGTTTTTATTCACTGCTCATCCTTTGGCATGGTACTTTCTTTAGAAGTTATCTAGAGAAACATTCCATGTACTGCAAAGTATGAGTACTACATGTACTACAAAGTGCCAAATTCTCCACTTGAAACTGTATTTGAGCGAGAGATAGTATGTTAGGGATAACTATGTCAAAGTTTGAGAAAAACAGAATTAAGGTAGAAGAAAATCCAAGGAATACAATTCAGTAGTAAATAGGAATTTATTAGTTTCTTTTTAAATTKTAACATGTATTTTGTTTGTAATGTGAGCTTCACATTAGTTAAGTGCTATTTTGTTGTTTCATCCCCCCTGTCCCACTCCCTTCTCTGATTATGGGCAATATCCCTTGTAAACAGCAACACACCACATTCTATACTAAATTCCTGGAAATGTTGATCTGACAGCCACAGTTTGGTCTTGGTGATAATTCCGTTTGAGGAGTAAATTCTATTTATTTATATATATATATATATATATGTTTATATATATATATATTATATACAAACCTGTTGTTTATGTGACATTTTATGCTCTGGTGACCTAGGCAGCTTAATATGCAACAGCAAATAACCAAAGCAGGAAGTTGGTAGTTGTTTGAAGAACCACCTTAGGATTTTCCCTTCAACTTGAGGCAGTCACGTGAATGATGTTCCCAAGTGCAAGTGAATTACARGTTTAGAAGCTTACAGGCTTTGGAACATGACTGGGAAAACTATAAATTAAATACTCTTAAGAAGAGTGAAGGACTTAGAACTGTATTTACTTAACAGTAACTGAAAACATTGTAGGTGTTTTTCTTCTATCTGGAGGAAGAGGATGTTTAGCTCGGTTTAAAGATAAATGGTTGCAAGTGCAAGTCTGCTTTCCACTTTAATCTTAATATTCTGCAATACAACTACTGGTTGTCCCACAGGATGTTGAGAATGTTGCATCTCAATGTTGGAAACTTATTTTAGATTACTTTGGAATTTTAAGATTTGATCAGGTGTTTATCTTGATGGTGCTATCAACTTCTTGGTGATACAGAGGTAAATTGCAGATTTAAATTTAGTGTCCCTTGACAAGTAAATGTTTTTTCTTGAAGACAGCTGACAGAGCAAGTACTGCAAACTCTTGGACTACTAGGAGAAACCTTTCTACTTCCCAGCGGCTCATAAGATAAATGTGATTTGGTACTTTGGAGTTCCTTTTCCTAAAAAGGAAAACTGGGAACTTGAAACAAGATGTATGAATCTACCGACTATTGTTTATTTAGATTTTGTAACATTTGTAATTTGGCTAAAAGTGATTGATTTTTGCACTCTGGTTGTGGTGATTTGCAGAAGTTGCYTTTGCTCTGCTAAAAGCTGCTTTCTCAACTGTGAAATCAGAAGAGAGCTTGTATCCATAACCAGGCCTGCCTTGGTGCAAAGTCCAGCAGCTTAATTAAAACTGMGGATAAGAGTATGTTTAAGCAAAAGCTCTGGGCTTTGTGCTTGCATAGCTAATGTAACAGCTAATAACCCGTCTTCAGACTTCACTGTGGCAGTAACAGGCTCTGGCCCAAGAGCGGGGCAGATAACTGGGGTGGGAACTTCTTAAGTCCAGGCAAATCTCAAGGCAACAGTTTAAATTTCTAGTTTCTCTCATAAATGTACAGTCATATCTTCAAATGATTCTTAGTACCATATGTATCTTCACTACCATAAGTACCCTGGGCTAACTGAAGTTAACTTTTTTTTGTCTGTATCTGCAGGATAACTTTTACATTCACTAAAAATTATTTACGTAGCTAAAGCTATTTTTCTATCATCGCCAACTGTAACCAATCTAACTATCAGTATTTGTTCTACAAATAACTATGTGTTTTTTGATGGACGATTGTGTTTTTTTGGGGTGGTAAAAATAAAATAGTATGTCTTTGAAATTAGCAGGTGGTTTATATTGTGAACTAAACCTTTTTTTTTTTTTTTTTTTTTTCCTCCCCCCTGTTCTTTCTAGTTGGTTTGGATGCTGCTGGTAAGACAACTATACTTTATAAACTGAAACTAGGAGAAATCGTCACCACAATTCCCACTATTGGTAAGATAATCCATTCTGGTCTCTTTGGGTTTGTAAATGTTAAATCTGGATTGCAAAGACAGGCTTCTAGGGCATGGCAATCTGTTGGCTTTCCTGTTAATATAAGAATCCAGACAAAAAGAGCTTTTTCATCTTTTCAGTATATTTTWTAGGATTTTGTACTGCCATAGCCAAGTAACAGTCCTACTTGGAACAAAGATCTGTGTAGCCCAGAATCTGGTGTCTGATGGTRGCCAGTACCGATGTTCAGGAGGAGAGCAAGCTAGTTAGGTAGAGATATGTCCCCTGAACATCTGGTTTTCTATCAGTTTATGCCTGAAGGATACAAGTGTAGGAAGTGCATTATTAAAATACCAGAAGTGAAACTGGGGAACCATCAATGTTTGAGATGACTAMAATTGCCTGATAACCTCGATATCTCTCTAACTACTTGACTATTTTGTCTTAGGCTTCAATGTGGAAACAGTAGAATATAAAAACATCTGCTTCACGGTTTGGGATGTTGGTGGTCAAGACAAAATCAGACCACTTTGGAGGCATTATTTCCAAAACACACAGGTAAGACTTCAGAAAGGAACTGTTTTGTAAGGGCTTGTTCTATTCTGTAGCATATGTATGGAAAGCATACTACCTTCTGTACCTTCCTTCAGAAAGGGCTCTCGCTATCTTCTTGAAGTTCTGAAGGACACTCACCTTTTGTTCTAGGTGGAGCTGCTTTGTTACYGTGATACGATGAATGGGAAGGGATGGGAGACTATTAGCTTATCAAATTTCTTCTGTTTTCTTCAAATTAATGATTCCAACAGTAATATTCATTTTGATTTTTTTCTCTTAAACTCCATTAGTTTTAGAAGCCTAGTTGAATTTTGCAGTTGATGCTCATGATGTAGCTGTTCATAKGGCCATCTTGGATTGCTTTTACAGAGATTTATGTCAAATTTGGTTAAATACGGGGGGAGATGGTTACAGTGTTTCATAAGCATTCTGAGTTTTTTTTTCTTTTTAATGATATTGCATGTTTATAGTTTGCAGTAGTTTCTCAAAACTGCTTATATTCTTGCAGGGCCTCATTTTTGTGGTAGACAGCAATGACAGAGAGAGAATCCAAGAAGCAGCGGAAGTTCTGCAGAAAATGGTAAATATTGGTAACTTCTGAAATAAAATCTTTAGGCTTAATTTGAAGGGATTTGTTTGGGGGTCCATATAAGCATCTGAGGGCTTACATTTTAGTGAGTTTGTTCAGCTTATATTTTACACACCTTGTAATTCAGTGTCACATAATGCTGAAATACAATTAGGACTCCYGAGAGAGCTTCACTTTCAGAGTTAGTAATGCATGAAAGCCTTTCTTTCCCTCACAGAGAGTTAAGAGCATTGTAGCAGATAAAGAAAATATTTTTGGCGGGGGGAAAAACCATTTGGTACCAAAAATGTCAGCAGCAAGATGCCAGTGGATTTAAGCTTCCTAGTGAAAAAAGGTTTCCTTACATGTTCTAGCAGAAATTTGTTTGCGTACTTGTTAATTACAGTAAGTAGTTGCTGATGACTTAAGGAGTAAGAGTGAAAAGGTTTTTAACCCCTTCAATCAGTTTTTTGTGTTTCTTAAGTATTGCAGTTACTTCAACAAGCACTAAACTGAACAAATTTACTAATGTAGCCATTTACTCTGTTAGCTTCAGGAGGATGAGCTGCAAGATGCAGTGCTGCTTCTCTTTGCAAACAAACAAGATCTGCCAAATGCCATGGCAATCAGTGAAATGACAGATAAACTAGGTCTTCAGTCGCTGCGTAACAGAACTGTAAGTGCTAAACTTTCCTGGGTGATGAATTCTTGTTACCTTATCGTAGATTGTAAACATAGTCTCCTTTTAAATTGAAATTTTATTCTTTTTCTGTAAAATGATAAATTATATCCTTAGAAGATGTTTTGAAAGTCTGTAACTTAGGTAATTCCATGCTCATTCTCACAAAAACAAAAAGGGAGGGAAGGAGTTTGGACTAGATACTCTGCAGAGGTCATTTCTAACCTCAGCCATTCTGTGAAGGTAGTTTTCAGCATRTAACTTAAATGCAAGTTATTTCTGAATTTATTTCTCGGCTAATGCTTTGTTTTAGTGTTTGGTGGGCCAGCACTGAGTGTTCAGAAAATCTCCATTCCCTACCTATTTATATAGATTTTTTTCAAAACTCATGAGAAGATCGTATGTTCACTATTGACTCTGGTATAAAACAGTGTTAAAACRTGACATCTGAGTCAATGTGTGTGTGTCACATACTGTGACAACTTTGCATTTGGGGAGTGTAACTTTAATGTTTGTCTGCGTTCTCTGTTAACAGTGGTATGTCCAAGCTACCTGTGCTACGCAAGGAACTGGTCTGTATGAGGGACTTGACTGGCTGTCAAACGAACTCTCAAAACGCTAACTTGAACTGGATGACTCTTTCACCAGGGACATGTTTGATATAAGTGGTCTAGGCTTGTTACGACAAAATTAGTTTGCATCTTGGTTATTACAGTATCTGGAACTGATTTGGGCAGGATATTACAGCGTTTCAACTCATTTTGTTGCCAATTATTGTTTACCGAGCTACATGTTGCAGAGGTAGCAATATGCTTGGGTAAAAATATCTTCTTAACTTGGAAAAAGTGTATCTTCTGATTTTTATCCCCCTGTTAGTCTAAACGCCTGAATAGAGTTATTGTGACATCTTAAATCTGTTTGAAATACTCTTTTGAGCCTGAATAAATTAATGTTTAAAAAAACTTTTCTTTCCTCCGTGCTACTTTTAGTTTACTGATGCCCTATTTCATTCCTCAGACAGTCTGCTGATTTAAAAATGTAGCATTCCATATGTATTTATTTCTCTCCCTTGCCAAAAAGACTTCCTAATACTGCTTGTTCCGATTGAGAAAATGCTCTAAAACACTATTCAGATCTACTGCACTGAGGAACATGTTGTTAATCTTTGGGTTCTRTCAGCCCATCTTGCCTTTGTGTGAATTGGATTTGATGGGTAGAATAGTTCTGTGCTGGTTGCGAAGAGCTCATGTTGAGGTTGTTTTTAATATTCAGCAGATTGTCTTCCTTTATATTGTATCTTTTTTTTTTTTATGTTGCATGTTGCTTTTTGGTATCAGCCTGACTATTTTTGCCCAGTGTATAATAGTTCTGCTGAAGTTTTACTGTTTGTTGGTGAACATATCTTCATAAAGAAATTTTGGAAAATTCAATGGATTAGTTTCTTCATAACCCACTTGGAATTCTTCCTAATAAAATGATAAAATGTATAGTTGTGTGTATGCCCTTCTTGATTCCTGCAATAGTTAAACTTCAAGTTGTCACTTGTTCTTTTTCCATATACTGAGTTTTCTGCAGCCTGAATGTGAACGAGGATGGGAGATGCTAAAGGCGGAAAGTGAAGTTGTTTATAGTGCAGCAGAGTAGATGTCATCAAGGATTATATAATTCTGTAAGCATCTTTCGAAGTTGTAATTCTGAAAATCTCTTTAAGATGTTCAGATATGAAAATAGTAATAGCTACAAAAATGGTAATAAAACAAATGCAATATGCCTTGAAAAGTATGCATGTCTATTTCATAGTTAAATCTACTTTAAAGAAACAACATGAGTTTAGCAGCAGAATCACATTCTGTTAGTGGCTGCCTAGAAACTTAACCGGAGCACTTCTCCAGGGATTTGGACAATGTTGTATTAATAATATAGTCACTTCCAAAAGTCAACTCCATGTGAGTGCTGTCTGCTTTTATATTCTTCTCCTCAGTCCCCAAAAGCACTTAAATTAAGGTAGTGAGGGTTTTTTGGGGCTGCTACAAATGTATAATTTTGTTGTTAATAACTCTTGTTCTGTTGTTCTAACTGCTCAATCTTGTGTATTTAATGTATGTGCATACACATAATGTATGTGTATTGCTGTCTCTGTGAACGCAGGTAACTCARAATTCCAGAACTCTTGAAGATACATAGCCAGTGATTGTATTCAGTGTATAACAGAAACCTAGGAGATTGAGTAGCACGGGTTTTATGTGCACATTAAAGAGTTTTCTGCTGTGTATTGAACCGACGTCACATAACAGTACCCTGAATTTGTAATAGTTAACAGGCATATTTCTAGTAATGCACTTTGCTTGAAATGAACTTCAAAAGCTAAACCTTGTTCAGACGAGCTGGCTGGCCTATAGGATGGATTGGGCTGATAGTCTCAATAAGTTAAAATTAAGCAAAGCTTGTGGGGATTTATATGACAACTCTCCCAAGGGTGAAGTTGGAGGCAGACAGTTGAAAAAYAAGCAGATATTTACAAATAAATAAAAATAAATTAGGCCTATATCTAGAAGAAGCATTCAGTTTGCTTAATAGAGATGTAYATCTCAGTGTTTTAACTTTCAAATACTTTTAGGTGGTTAAATATTCTGGTTTAGGYGAGCTGTCTGTAACAACCCCACACTTGAGTCACACATGCAAATGCAAGCTTGTATTTCAAGGCTTTACCAGACTGGATTGATTTAGGGAAAGTGGGTACCAAGCACGTACCAGTAGGCTCTAATTCTCTTACAGACCAGTGAATCTCAAAATCAAAGTCTGAATGAAGATCTTGCAGCCCCAGATCTCCTAAATGAGGCGCTCAGGAGGGAGCAAGGTTGCAGTTTACGCTGAAGTGGAGCAAGACAAAGTCAGTACCGTTCTTTATGGCTATTTAAGTAGTCAGTATAATGCTAGTCAGAGCATAATCRGGAACTGAAGTAGGCACATCAGTCTTTCTGTAAACAGTTAAGATTGCATTCTGTTACCAAAATGGTATTTATTTTTGAGTATTCCGTAAGGCTGTAATATTAGGAAGAAATGCCTTTATTTCCTAGTAATATTAAACTGTGAAACTGGAAAAGGAAGACAATGCACTTGATGGGCTGTGGAATAATGTTGCAATTGACTGAGTAAATAGATTTCCCCTTTGGGTACTGTATTCCTATGAACTCTTATCAGTAATTTGCAAAATGTTTTCCAAGTACGGTCTGTATTATGTGTGAAATGAACAAATGACAGTGACAGAGAATTGAAAGTGRAAGTTTATTAGGTCAAAGAGGCATAACTTAGTGTTTTCAAACACTGTCTTAGTTGTAGAGGGACTAATAATATAGGAAAAGAGGCTTGTTACGGATTCATACCCCTTCCCTCCATTGAGAGAAAGTAACGACATGACTAGAAAACACCAGGAACAGGTACTTGAAGTAGATGTAGTTTGTATTTGAAATCAATTTTTAACCAGTGCTAAAATTACCCTCAGGTATATTAAACGGGCAAGAAAGATATTTCCCAATCCTTTATAATCTTGAAATTAAGGCATTTGATTTTGCTAAACACCTCTATTGAATGATAATTARAAAGCATCTCTTCCAAAAGTAGTAAGTACAAGTTAGTTGATCGTGCTACTTACTAAAATTCTAGATATAGTAATGATAAATGAACAAGACTCTTTATAGACCTAAAGTTATTTGAAAGATTTGATTTTCAGTTTTGCATTTTGTTCCAAATTGAACAGGGTTCAGCTTGCAGTAATAAATCAAATTGGATTCATATATCCTTCTTAGCAAAAGYATTCCTAATCCTTTTTAAAAAAAATCTATAAAAGGTAGATGATATTCCAATGTTCAAAACTTTAAATTATTTGTATTTTCTATTAGCATATAAAAAAGGGAAAGAAAGTTGTCATGTTAATATTAGAATAGTCAGATAATTGGCAGTAGAATCAATAAGCAKGTGAACTTTTTGGTAATAATTCTAATTCGCTTCTTTAGTAACATGTAAACTAGGGTTCAACTTGACTTCCACAACAGGGAATTGACTTCTTGTTTGAAAACTCAAAAGCACCACGCAAATGCGGATTTATTTCCACTTTAAGTCACATATTAGTGCTATATGATCAGAGGGATGTGCAACACTGGGCAAAGCTTCATGAGTTGTTACTTCTTCATGACTTGGCAATGGAATGACCTGTTCAACCTCAAGAGCATTTTTGTCAATGAAAATGTAGTCCAGACACCCATGAAACCCACCAACATAGTTTGTATAAGCAGGTTCTCCACAAGCACTTAGCAGTTTGAAAGGATGACTTAAGGGCATGTTGCACCTTTCTTCTTCTCCGTTAGAGACCCAGTCTTCATCATCTTCAGCAACACTGCCACCGCTAATGAAGCGGTAAGTCCCAGATGATGGTGTACTGTTAAAATCCCCACAGAAAATGATTGGGATGCTAGGATATAAATCACACGCTACGTGCTTGATGTGAGACAAGGCTATAGCGATTTGGATGAGACGGATGTTCCCACCTAAAAATACAAAAACATTACTTAAAACATTTTGTAATAGCAGTACTCTAGTGTCCACTTGGGGTAGACTGCATGCAGGGTGGCTGCCTTGCTTTCAGCTATATTCTACTAACTCCTAGGCAAATTAGAATAAGCTGTCTAAAAAAGCGTGTGTGGGGGGAAGTCTAATAGCCTGATTGGACCCATCACGATAAGTGTAACRGAAAGCTTTAATAGCCCTGGATTATAGCTTGGAAAGGGAGAAATCTATTAAGAAGATGAATCAAGAATGAATATGACCCTGTCTCTCCTAGAAACTAAAATTTTCTGGCTACAGCAGAATGAAGGAAGAAACCCTACAGGACCCAGTTATCCCACACACAGCACTCTGACACACTTACCTTTTGGATGCCAGTACAGATGAGTATTAGCCACACAAATCTTCCTGGAAGGATCAGTTGCAGACTGAAAAACTGAAACCTATATAAAGAAAAAAACAGGATATTTTTAAAGTCTTAATTGGGTTATATATTATATTAAAAAAGCAAGTATTATTAGCTTATGCATTTGTGGTAATTCAGTCCAAGAAKCCAAGGTTTGTGACTAATTAATAGTATAGCTCAGAAGTTGAACCCATTTCTCCTCCACGTGAAGTCACTATCAGCCAGTATATTTCCAATATTACAGCTACCACATCCAAGTGGACAAGCACTCTTCCACCTCTGATTATGCAAAWGATTTTGTTTTAATTTTTCATAAAATGCTGCTAATGCTTTGCTGTTCTTAATGATTGCCCTTTTCTGTTCTTCCACCTCTGTAACATAACTGGAGCTATATTTCTGTTTCCCAGATGCAAACTGGAAAACCACATAGTTGTGAAGTTAATCTTAAATGTTGAACTCAACCTCAGTCAACCTCATTACTCCTACTTAGCCCATGAGCAAGAAATGTCGTAGCAGCCACGGTCTCTGAAATTCTTGATAGGGGACTGATCTCTCAAGCTCAGTTCTGCAAGCATTCATACTGGCCTCACTGTGTTCACAAACTCATCCAACTTGATTTCTCTCCCTCCTGTCACATTTTAGAGCGGCATTATTAAAGCAAACTAAAGTTAATCTCTGACAGGATCAAATATAGTGAAAGACAGGAGAGATTTAAGTAGTGAACAACCAAAAAGTCCGATGAACTGCAAGACATGTGAGTACCACAGGCCAGCACTCAACACACTTGTCTGACTTCATCTTAAAATGAAGAAAATCCTTTTCTACAGCCTTTCTTGGCACGTTCYGTTGGCATTTTGTTCTTTGTTGTCCCCCAGTGGCTTTTCTGCCCTATTTCCTTATAGCGCTCAACAGAGACATCACCGGGGACTCCTGTCTCTGCTTCCAAGTGTTTGCGGTTACTTCCCTGCAGTCAGCCATCGTCCTCGGTAGCTTATCCCCGAGTCAGCTACCAGCTATGGCAGGAGGGAGGGAGCGCCCGCTGGAGCGGTACCTGCAGCACGGATGATCTCTGCAGCACCTTCTCCTGCACGGCCGGGTACGCGGCCAGCTTCTCCCGCAGCGCCGCGTGCACCGGGTCGACGAGCAGGGCCTCGCTAAAGGCGATGTCGTGCCGGCTGAGGAGGCTGAGCTTGTCCCGGCGGAAGAAGGTGGCCAGACCCTCGTGTTGCTTCTCTTTGATCTTGAAGAGCCCCTCGAGGCCAAAAGCGTCCAGAGCTGGGGCCAGGCTGTCGGCGAAGGCGCCCTTGTCCACCTCCTGCAGGCATACGAGGTCAGCGCTGTAGCCCGCCAGCTCCTTCTTGAGCAGGTTCTGGCGGTAGTCGAGCTCGAGGGCGTAGGGCGCGCAGTATGGGTAGAGCACGGTGCGCGAGAACTCGGTCTGCGCGTACGTGTCCGCCAGGATGTTGTAGGTGACGGCACGGAGGCGGCCGGCGCCGCACGCGCGGCCTGTGTAGAGGTGCCGCGCGTCGAAGGTGCAGGCGCCGGGCCCGGCCTCCACGGGCCCGCTGCTCTCCACCTCGCAGGGCAGCCCGTAGCGCTGCGCGGCGTCGCCAGGCGTGCAGCGCAGCTTGAGCCGCAGCCCGACCAGCGCGTTGTCCGGCGTGAAGACGCGCCCGGCCGCCGCCTCCTCCTCCACCCAGCCGCCGCCGCCGCTGCGCTGCTCGCGGAACCAGCGGAAGAGGCAGTGCTGCGGCGCCGCGAACTCGGCGCTCAGCTTGGGGCACACGGGGAAGCCGGCGAGCAGCGAGCGCGGCAGGCGCAGCTCGGTGAGCGCGGGCGGGTTGCGCTCCACGCGGTAGCGCGCCTCGCCGATGTGCAGCACGGCGCCCTCCTGCCACGCCGCCGCGTTGGGCACCTCCGCGCCCACCGCCTGCCCGTCGCGCGAGAAGAGGCGCACGGCGGGCAGCGCCGCCGCGTCCTCYGCCTCGCCCGCCGCCCGCGCCTTCTTGCCCTTCCTGACGCGGCCCTTGGCGGCGTTGGTGGCGATGCGCGCGAGCGCGCGGCCCAGCGGCTCCGCCTGGTCGCGCTGCATGTGCTTGGCGCTGCCGTCAGGCAGCACGAACTGCAGGCTCAGCTTGGGCTCGGACGGCACGCAGCGCACCACGGCCCGCTCCATGGCGGCAGGCGACGGGCAGGCCGAGGAGGATGGAGCTGCCGCCGGGCCGCGCAGCGCGGAGGCAACGCGCAGCGCGCGCCACATGAACGGGCCGCCCGGCGCCGCCGCCACCTCAGCGCGCGCACCCGGAAGCGCCCGCTGCGCCGGCAGCGCCCGCGCAGTAGCGCTGCCCTCTGCGCCTGCGCSCGGCGGCCGCTGGCACCGCCCCTCAGCGCGCCGCCCGGTACCGCCCCCGTCCCGCGGGAGGAGCCGCTGYCTCCGGCGCGTGGCTGAGGCGGCAGAATTCTGCTCGGGAAAGGGGTCTCCGCSGTCTGGCAAACGGCCGTCCGAAGGAGCGCTCTTTTCCTAGGCATTGTGCAGATGGGTGAAACTCCTGGAGAAGTCTGCACAACCCGCTGTTTGTGCCGAAGATTTGGCCCAAGAATATGAGGTGTCTGGAGTGAGCTAAAACGCAGCTGCCACTGAGTTGCAGCACCTGTTGGGAAGGTGCCTGGGGATTTCTCAAACGGTTCTAAGTCACGAATTTCTCTTCGTCTTTTGCTGCTCCAGTCTCTGTGGTGAGAGGGCTCCACCCACACAGACCTAAAATTAGGGCATGAAGTCTCTTCAGCGAAAGCAGCAGGTGTGGGTAGGTCTGTAGAATTTCCATTTGCAGTTTTGTCAAGTGGAGCAGCTTAGCGGCAACAACTGAGGATATTATATATGTACTTTAAGTATCCTCGCCGTGATTAGAATTAAAAAGGTTTAATGTGCTTTGTGCAGACAGAAAACTGGAGGAGAGGGATTTAATGGCTTGATTTGCGTGTATTTAAGCTTGTGTCGGGTTGGGACGTTTCAGACAAGATCTTTTCCAAGATTCTGCTATTTCTTTCCCTCAAAAATTACGACTAATCTGCTGTTGTGCAAATGCACAATAAATACCCATTGCATGGAATTAATAGGCCCTGAAACGGCTTTTTTGTTGTGGCCAGGTGACCCTTGTTAGCAGTAGGCTCTAGGCAGGTGCTGCTGCCTGCTCTACAACCTGTGCAGCTAATTATCSCTCCCCGGGAGGAGCCCGGTCTGCCCTGGTCGCGAGGGGGCTGTGGCCGTCGGCGGAACGGCTGGTTTGGGGCGCGGCTCGCGGCTCCCGCTGGGCGCTGCGCTCCGGGCGCGCCGCGCCGCCGCTGGTTCGGGTTGCCGTAAGCATCGCCGCCGGCCGCGGCCGTTAACGGCTGCCGCGGCCCCACCCGCCCCCGTCTCCGCGGCAACCGCGACGCTGTCGCGAGGCGCCTCGGCCGCGGCGCCGCAGAGGTGAGTAGAGCGGAGCGGAGCGGGGCGTGCGCCTCGGCCCCAGGCCCTGGCGTCTTCCCGTTCCTAACGTCTTCCCGTCGGGTCTGCAGCCCCCGTCGCGACTGGGCAGGGCGAATTGCTGGGAAAAGGGCACGGCTTCTTGGTCTCTGTTTAGCTAATCTTTGTTTCTGTCYGTATTTCTTTCCCTCCTCCCCGTTTTAATATTCTTTTCTAGAACATATAGGACTAATTTAGGACTTAGATTTTCCTTTCTGTTCCCCTGCAAGAAAGATTGAAGTACAGCTGTGAGTTTGCAGGGGTGGGCACCATATTTCCTGGGGGATGTTGTATTGTATCTTCTGGGATCCTAAAATGTAACTTGCACTCAGCAGGGAGTAAGACAGAGCGGCTAGGAAAACACTCTCGCAGCGCTGGGGCCCAGCCGAGCAGCAGTTTTTCCCTTTCTCTGAGGCCAAGGTTAATCCAACTTTGGTTACCAAGTATTTTTAACCATGGTCACTCTTTTTTGGCTCTTCACGTCCAAATATCRGGCTCCTTCTTCAAACACAGGCTTGTCTCAATTATCCTATTGCACAGCCCATCACTCCAAAACTAGTATCACGATGGAAAATTCCCACCTATCCACCTGGCACACATCCTGACTGGAATCGTATGTTTACTGGGTTACCACTCACCTTTTCATTGGGAACCCTTTATTTTTGTACAATATATTAATCTTAATTTATTAGATCAGTAATTCCTTTCTCCTATACATTTTAGACTTTATATGCACCTTTTGTTGAGCACGTACAGTGTTTTTCTGTTTGCTGAAGCCAAACCTTTAGTACCTAGACTCTGGAAATCATAGTATCATAGAATGTTTAAGGTTGGAGAGGACCTCAGAGGTCATCTAGTATTTCTGCTTATTTAAGTTCAACTTCATATATGCATCTTGTAAACTGCCCTGGGGATAGGATTAGTTGTGTTCTATTGCTTTGTTTTTTGTTATGATTTTAGATGGCGCACTCAAATGGAGCAACATCCCCTTCTAATAAAAGGACWATGAGAACTTTGTTTCTTCCTATTGTGTTACCCTCAACAGTCACGTCTGGTGCTTCCCCATTACGGAACAAACTATTAACACACCGAAGAGTCAAAGAACAACAAAAGATGCTTAACCAGTTAATGTGAGTTCCATGTTATCCAATAAATGATATTGAAATTTAAAATTAAAGAATTACTACTACACCTTTAATATCTGAGAAATTATAATGGCATCTGTTTAATTTAGAGGGTTTTGAAGTCACTTGCATAACGCTGAATATTTTCCATCTAAAACCAGGAGTAATAGAAGCGTACTTGATAGAATCTCTGATGTTCTTTTCATTTACAGCACCAGGAATTTGTGGACTAAGATTGCAATGTTTGTAGTAATATTATTGAAAAAAAAAAAAGCAGTTTTTTCATTCAGATGAAAGATTAAAAACAGGAGAAATATTTTAGCATATTTCATTTGTAGTTTTAGGTTTTATTTGTAGTTTTAATCACTTTAAAGCACTTCTAACTGTGTATTTTATTCTAGAATTGATCGAGCTTTAAAACTCTATCATGTGTCCATGGAAGAAAAACAGCAAAGAGGTCCTGTACCTCCTATCCCAGAACTACCTTCAACTGTGAGTGTACAACTACTCAGAAGTTGTTGTTTTAACTGTTACCTATATTGCTCTTTGTTTTCAGGACACTTATGCTTTTTTTAATACTTAAAGATACTTACCTCAATCATTAGTAATTTATAAATAGATTTATATGTGGGTATAGATGTATAAATGGATTTATATGTAGGTAAATAGATCTGTAAATCTATATATGTGTATTTATATGTAAAATACATATATAAACATTTATATGTATTATTTCCTATTGCAATTGATACCTACAGGTCGACCGAATAAAGTTTTTGCATAGYAGTAGTATTAAATTATGAGAGCAAAATTATATATGTGTATGTTTTGTTAAATTGCTAATACATTGGAGTTTATTTTGTTTTTTTTTATTCAGATGAACAGTGAGCAGAAAAAACGAAGAGTGAGTTTAAATTCTACTTCTTTAAAATGAAATACTGAATGATCTCTCTATTCAGAAGAATTATGTCTCTTTTATGGAATTAGGAGAGGTTAAATAAGAAAAGCTTTTTGCAGCTGTCTTGAAGAAAAATACGTTAAGCTAAGCTGTGAATTTTTTGTCACAGTTCACTAGGAGTATTTTCTGTTATAGAAATGTGTATGCCAGTAATGTAAGATTAGAACTAAACCTTTCTTAAGGGTCGTTACTTAGAAAATATTCTAATGGGCCTCAGTTTTGCATTTGAGCTCATTAATCATGTATTAACCTGTACAAAAAGCAATCTTTGGTATTGTTCATCTGATTTGAAGGCAGAATGGACATGTGCAAATTATGCATTTTATGTGTGTATTTTTTTACATAAGAGTTTATCTCTGAGAGTTACTTTGAACCCACACTGAAATATTTACATTAAATAGCCAGAGGGAAACTTGTTTACAATTTCCTAGCTAATATGATAAAATTAATTCTAAAAACTGTAGAGATTCAGATCGTCTTTTCCTTAATAAAATAAATAATCAGTCGAGTATAAACCCCAATTTCTCTGGCATTTTATTTTAAAAGCCACTTGTTCTTTTACTTTGCTATATGAGTATTATATCCAAAGAACAATAATCTGTGCCTTGGACTCTGTTGGGGTCAGCTATGAAACTTAGCAGAGAAACAAAGAAAATGCCATGCTGAAAAGTACAATACTTAGTATATGAGCAGTGAGACAGGGAGACCATTTCACCAAGCTTGGAGCAGCTGTCAGTGTGCTGGTCATTGCATACTTAGAAACATTGATTGTGTCACATACCAGTTATAACAATGAGTAAGGAGAGATTTTATTGTAAAATGTGATGCAGAAGTATTTAAATGGTTGGTTATCAGACCTGTAACAATATTGTTTTTTTAGATCAATTATCTCTTCATGAAGAAATGTGTGCAAAGTAACCCGGTGGTTCCCATTCAGCAGGAGTGGCTGATGGCCATGCTCACATTGGTGCCAGAGTCACTCATGGAAGGCCAAGATAGACAACTATTAGCTGAAACACTCTTGGGGGAGGTAGTAATGGATTTTGAGAAGAGTATGAAGAGATGTGTGGGTAAGTGCTACAAACTGCATACTTAAACAAAAATGCTAGTATGTACATATGATGAGCTGCTAATTTTATTTTTCTAACCTATGCTTTGAGCCAAGCATGATTGTCTTCTAAGTCAATTGATTTCTTTAAGTCGGTGGCTTCAGCCACTCGTTTCTCAAAAACATTTAAGGCAAAAACTTCTAGTTTTATTTTGGCTGTTGAAAAAGTTACCTTAATCATCTGAAGACAAAGTTCAGGCAGGCAAAGGCAACTGGAGAGTCCATGGAGAAAAAGGCTCTTTGCAGATGACCTTACTTAAACATGTTTAGCTAATTTGATGCAAGGATGTATTGATGTTTTTATTTTCTGCYTTTTCATATATCAGTCATTCATTCTTTAGTTTTTGGTTTTTCAGAAACGGCAAGTTTTCAAGCTTTTTATCTAGTATTGCCTTGAGCTCATCCAATCTTTTCTGATGCTGCATTGTATGTATGAGCAAGTTTCCAGTTAATAACAAAATGCTAATATAGCTGTGTCCAACTTGCTTCTACTTCTAAACTGTGATTTTGAAACTGTTCTCTTTAAAACATGTTTTAAAGTATATGAAAACAAAAATGTGTCCAA